ATGATTTCTGCAGTATATTAACAGCTCTCTCCCTGCAGTGGAAAGCCGAAATCATGGATTTCTGCCCCAGTACTCGAATAATCCTAGTCGGCTGCAAGACAGACCTGAGAACAGATGTTTGCACACTGATGGAGCTGTCCAATCAGAGACTGACACCCATCTCCCATGAGCAGGTCAGTCGATCACACCCTTTCTAGACTCCTCGCATCACTTTTTCCATCTCTGACTGCATTCTGTCTATTTTTCTGTTTGTAGGGCACCTTATTGGCAAAGCAGGTAGGAGCAGAGGTGTACCTAGAGTGCTCTGCATTCACATCGGAGAAGAGCATCCACAGTGTGTTCCGCTCAGCGGCACTAACATGCCTCAACAAACTGCAGCCCCCCATAAAGCAAAGCCCCACTCGCCGGCTGTCCAAACGTCTCCTTCACCTGCCCAGCAAAGCAGAGCTCCTGACCTCCTCCTTCAGCAAGGAGAGAACCAAGAGCTGTTCCATCATGTGAGCTCCATGTGTGCCACTCCAGTTCCAGAAAAAAAAGAAAAAAAAAAGATATTTTCGCTCTTCGAAAGGGTTGGTTGGGGGTAGGGGGGTTTGAGAGGAGAAGGTCATGACCCCTCCCTCTCTCTACACTTATGTTGTTGTTCTTCCATTCTGACACCCCACCTGCAAACACACTCATCCCTATGACAAAGAGCTGCTGCCATTGTTCAAGGTTTTCGGCTATTACACATCCTAGTATCGATTGAGTTCCCTTTACTAGCATCTGGCTTTACATGAACTGCATTTTGTATCAATGATCAATCAGTCAGACAAAGAAGGAAATGCCGTGAATATTGGACACTGTGGGATATTTTTGTGGGTAGTCTTATTTGTTAGCGTGCATACATGTATGGGAATGTGGGATGAGCTGTGAACGTAATTTAATATTTAAAGGAAGAGGATGTGTTTCTGTTACACAGTACGCACTTTAGTGAATATGGACGCGATTGTTGAATGGAAAGTGAGAGAATGATTGAATACAGGTTGGCATTAGTTGCTGTTTCAATACAGAATTATGCTTTACTTGTATTAGCTAAAGTCTCTGGCACTGATCTACGATGTGAGATCTCATGCAAGCATAAGGTGAGGAGCCAAACAAGATTTTATGTCCTCCTGAAAAAGGCAGACAGTGTTATAAATCTGCTAGATGAAGCATCCAATCACATTTGTACAATCCAGATGGATTGGACATGCTGACACACTCTTTCACTCTCTCTCTCTCTCATCTCTACTGTAGTCCTTCTTGAGCTTTCTGCCCTTAGAAAATGGGTCATAAATTCCAGCCAATGAGGAGAAGCCCAGCATTGCCAAGGCCATTTCTCAGTATAGAGCAGGAGTTATTGCCACAAAGACCCCTTCCAGATGTTCCAAGCGTTCTTTTTTAGAAAACAAGATCTTTTATTGAAATAATTTTAGAGATGGACTGGAAAGGTCATGAGGGGGATTACTAAGGGATATTGCAGTCCACCAAAACAATGTTGATCAATGTTGTATAAGCAAGAAGATAATTTGAATGTTCCAGTTGACTTTTCTTTTAAAGTAATCTTAAAATCTGCCACAACACCTAATTTTCAATAACATGCCTGTAAAGAGCCGACTTCTCTTGTCATGTGGTGAAGTTACTGGTTATTCTCATGGCTGGATTTAGATTGCATTATAATTTCAGTGATTCTCATGCATTCGGTCAGATCACTGTCACAGAGGACTCTCCTCTCATGCTAAGCCTCATTCTGGTAATCTCGGTCTTAAATCCCACTACCCCTGGTTGTGTAATACTTAATCATAAAACAACTAAATCCTCACTTTGGGCTTATAAATGGCCAAGTAGAAATGAACTGAGAAGCCAGATGAGACAGCATTACGAAGAATCTGACCTCAGAATAACTTCCAACTAAAGTAGTTCATCAAATTTAATATGATCAAAGAAATGGTTTGGGAAATAATTTACACTACCGTTCAAAAGTTTGGGGTCAGTAAAAGCTACAGCTGAAAATTCATCTTTGCCATCATAAGAATATATGACATTTTTAAATATATTAAAATAGAAAAACGTTTTAAATTGTAATATTTCACAATATTACCGTTTACTGTGTTTTTGATCAAATGAATGCAACCTTGGTGAGCAGAAAAGAATTCTTTCAAAAACAAAAAAAAATAAATACATTTAATTTTCACTAATTTAATCCAAAATGTAGCACTGGATATTGTGAAAACTGCAAATTCAGTCAAATCTTAATTTGCATGGTCATTATGAGAATGAAAATACTGTGCCTTGCCTTAAGCGCACATTTGTACTACTTTGTTATTATTATATCACTGACTTTGTAAATTCTCAGTCTAGTTCATCTGAAAGAAGCTTTAGGATGTTGTTCATTACTTCATGCTACATGCACTGATCAGAGCTGGACTACATGTCCGAAAACCACTCGAGAGAAGTTGAGAGAGAGAAACAGGGTGTAAAAGTGAAAACAAGGACAAGTTTTCTCACTGTAGCATAACAAATGTTTTTTTATGGCTATAGTTTATAGTTTGAAACATAAATCATCTTACAGACCATCATCTTGATATGAATTTGTTACCGTTGTCTGGTTTAGTAGCACTCTTATATGTTATATGTTTGATGTGGTGGACCTCCACAATCTTCCTTTTGTTACTGAAGTCTGGACGTACATATGTTGTGCATAATCAGTTTTGTACAGCCCTTTAAATGAAGTCTGTGAAGGAAACAAATTCAAAACAAGACAGTATGATTGTGTGTGCAATGTAACTAAGTTATTAATTGTTGATTATTGCTGGTTCTGTTTTATTCTTTAGTTTCAGACAATCTATTTTATATGGAATATTGTTTATTATTTTTCCTGTCTCTGATGTCATGTGTCACTCTTAAATTAAATTAAAACCTGGATTTGGTCAGTAAATTGTGTAAATGTTTGCTTCTTTTTAGTGCCAGCACTCATTAGGAGAAAATGACTCATCGAAAAATATTTTCATTTTTATAACCTTTTTACATGTTAAGAACTGCAGATCCAGAGGCAGACCAAAATATAATGAGAAAAGTGACATGTCTAAAGAATCTGTATATACATTTAACATAGAAATGAAATAAAATAAAATAAAAATGTTTCCCAGCAATCTCTATCAAATGAATTGCAGAACCATAAAAAACTGGAAAATTCCTGGAAATTCATTAGTCAAAACGAGTGTGGACCCTGTATCTTAAATTTCGGGAAATAATTTCATAAGACAAAGAACCTCATATGACAGACTTTTGAATTACCTCTTTATGGCACTCAAAACTAGGCCAACAGGTCTAAGAAAACCCAGGCTTAAATAATGTGATTCTGCAGGAATACAGTAGAATGCAATGAAACAGTGTACTGAATAATAAAGAGGCAGAAACAATAAAAAGATTTCCTGTATGCATCTGCCCTTTAATAAGCACTGTACACACATCCGACGAGCAGACAAGGCCATGGAATATATGGTGATATTTTTAGGTAAAAATAGCTTTAACTAAATAAATAAATATACCTTGAACAATTTTGGTCCATCGATTTTCTTTATGAATCTATCTAGCCTATATTCAGTTTCTAAAGCTTGCAAATCATCCAGGCTTTCTCAATTGCATCACATACCAATAGGGCAAACTCTGTCATTGATATTTGCATTAAGTCCCTACACTATCCATCTGTTCACAAAGTTCTATATTACTCTACATTAGTGGTTCTCAATTGTGGTAGACCAACAGTTGGGTTATATAGGTCTATTCCGAAAAAGCAGAAAAAAATTAATTGCAAGTAACCATTTAATCAGGTATAGTTTGGACAGCAAAAACAAACAGGCAATCAACTTCAAACACCCATTAAATGCTATGATATTTGGGCACAAATCCATCTCTCAATTGATAGAAGAAATCAAATTAGGTAGAAATTTATGCTGTAAATTACTGACTAGCAATTATTGACCAGCGAGAAGCATTACAACCCTTGAGTTTTTGGTATTAATAAATTACAAAGTAGATATATTAATATACGTTTTTAATATAAATTTATAATTTAATACAAAACAATATTACAACTGTTTTTAATAATAAATAGATTAATAAATTGTTTTATTGATTAGATTTTTTTATTTTTATTTTGGTATATTGTGTTGGATCAGCACTTGAGTTCCAATGAAATTCTACATCCTGAAGCAAAGCCAGTTCAAAAGCACTTATCTACATCGTGTTCCTCAGTCAGTTCTTTAGTCTAGTACCTTTAAACGGTAGTGTACATGTTCACAAGCTCACCATGTGCAGCTCTTTCATTTAATGCATTAGATCAAGTCGACCTTGACCAGTCACAGGTTAAGGCATGACTTTCAAAGGAAATTTCTAGGAAAAGGAAAAGATATAACCTGGATAAAACAGCAGAGTCTGTTAAGCGTGATTTTAAGAGGGACGTCATGAAAGAAAAATATGGCATCAGAGAGGGAATGCTTAGGGAAAGAGCGCCATCATCCAGCTGCTTGAAGTCTTCTCCACCCAAACAGCCCCAGTCCCTCTCTCCTCTGAGGTCTCTGGGGTGTAAAGTAAGGGAATGACAGAATGCCAGCTCATTGCCAATCCCTCACATCCAACAGACAGAAACCTAGTGAGTGAGAGAAACGGGGGAGAAATCAGTAAAGGAGGGAATGAAATATACTCTCCAATTACTGACGAGCTGCAGTCTGCCATAGAGATACGCACACAAACACACACACGAAGCCATCAAACCAGCCACCGTGACTCCAATGCTAACAATGCCATAGATCATCTAGAACCGTATGCGAGTTCAGACCTTCAAATGTGCCGTCTCCCCTTTCTTATGCACCTTTTCTGCTTGTGTTATTCGCCTGCTCACTTACATTATCAGAGGAATGTTGTTTTAAGGTTTAAAAGGTACTTTTAGTGCTGCTTCAAAGCAACAAGCGCAGTCAACCCTTGTTGAATCAGTCAAGGTGACTCTGTTCACTGGAGCAGAAAGCATGTCTCTCACACACACACACACACACACACACACGCACAAGAACAACTGCTGGCCTCGTGGCCTCAGGAGAAATGAATGTACATAATCAGCATATTAAATTTATTCATATATTAGCATAAACAATGTGAACCTCTCAACTCACATCATCATACATTTCTGATTTATATTACACATCCTTTTTAAAAATGCATGATACATCAGCAGCATATTGGTTATCAAATCTTTTCATGTATCAGTATCAGACAATATTGGGTATATATCAGATACTTTTAAATATTTTATTGCTAATTTTCACAGATTTTAACATTTCAATTACCTTTAAATACCTTTGTAAAATATATCAAATATAAGTACCATTAAAGATTTTAAGTTAACATTTCAATAATAATAATAATTCCAAACCCAGTTTGGAAAACCCTCAAAAAAAAACAAAAAAAACAAAAAAAACAATGAAAGTAAATGGGGTCCAAAACAACAGTGGATCATCTTCTTTTGTGTTCTGCCAAAAAAAACAAAGTCATATTTGATTATTTTAATATGGTAGTGTTGCAAGAGTCTTGCACAGCTGATTTCTGCTGCGTTGGCAACAGAACAAAACAACCGCACACATGTGCCCTCATATGAGCATACCTCTCACACTGCCAAGGGCTTTTTCTTGCCAATGGGGTCCCCAAGGCTTCCCTAAAACCTATGAGGTACACCCAACCCCCACTATCACTCACTCTCACACATATGTACAGTGTGTCACGGTGAACCCCTGAGGTATGCTTATAATGGATGAGCATATTTGGCTGTTTAATTAGCCAACCGTGGTTTTATGGCATCTGGGTCTCTGGGCCATAGAGAAGGATAAAGGTGTGGGTTGTGTTTGGACATGTCAGGATGGCTATGCATGTCTGGAGTTTAAAGTAGCACAGGGTTTTTGCTGGTTACAGCTGAAAATGTAGGTTGAACAACAATGATTTAGTGTATAAAAATCTGGAAAAAAAAAAAAAAAAAACTGACCTATTTATAAGCTTTAAACTGTTCAGATGTCCCATGCTTGGGCTCAGGTGTTTGACTTCTGATTGACCTGTGCCTGTACAAGTTAACTAATCCTATATAATACGGTCTGTTTTATGAAGATAAAGCTGCATGTACTGAATGTGATAATCTGGATATGATACTAAAAAGAGAGATTTATGTCTCTTAAGGACAAATTTTGACATATGGTGTGACACTGTAAATAACTAATTAGGCCAGGGTGCATTACACATGCAGTAGTGCCCACAATCACAGCAGAGTAGAGCAACTTCTCGAAATTATTGTATATGCCGCAATATCATGCAGATATTGGTAACTTGTTTCTTATATGCAAAAAAAAGTGTCTTTATTTGTACTTTGATACAATCTTTTCCTGTAAAACCAGTAAACAAACAATGATATACAACAATGAAGTCTGATTGCAATTCCATGTGTATAATATGCTATCAATCATGTATCACAGCAACCGACGATATGCCAGACAATGAACAGATGATTAAAGATATATTTTAAGAAAATTGCTGCCATAGCTTATCATTATCAGCATAAGCACTAAAGACAAAGTTAGAGATTTTAGAGAATTTGGAGCAGCTCCAGACTGATACAGACTAAAGCAGGGTCTACAACAGGGGGTCCAAGGTGGGATTGCAGAGGGTCTGCCAAATTATTATATTATATATTAATATTATAAGTAACTTTAAAGTTAGTTGTCTAGTACAATTAAAATATAAGGTACATAATCAAGTATATGACTATGTACAATAACTAACGATTATTTTAATAGCTGTGCAACCTGACACAGCAGAAGAGGTCCTGCATTCTCCAAGAGAAAGCAGACATGTTGATTTTTATTCAGAAAAAAATAATTAGCTTTGCAAAAATTGCTAAATAACATGTTGAATTTGTTGATATTACCAGTCTGTTAAAAAGATTTGACAGATTTGACAATTTTCCCAACCCTAAACCTTAGCATCATAACAAACACATTAATATGAACATTAATTTCCACCAAGGGATCCAAAGGTTGAAAACTGGCATAGATTAAAGTAAAATTCAAGATATTCAGAGCATGACTGCTAGTTATCTGTAGACAATTCACAACCCACATATCCAGAAAGATCGGTACTGGAGGTAGCTCTTTATGAGTCTCAAGGTCACACAAAGCCGTAATCATAATTACCCACAACCTTGAGTATATGCCTGAGAAGAGCAAGTATGTGTGAGAGAAAGAAAAGACAGGAGTAGATATGAAAACATGAGTATTCTCTTTGACTTTACAGTGTCAGACAACACATTTACTGCAGAAAGTATGTAGTCATAGCAACAGCAGCAAAGTCTTAGTTGCAAGTGTGTCTATGAGTAGGTGCGTGTGTGCACAGATTTACTTTTCAACGGCCTGAAAGAGAAAAATCATACGAAATGAAATATTTAACAGCTCTCTTTTGAGCACACGTACATTCTCAGTGTGAAGATGAAAGCGGGAAAACAGTCGCTTATCTGGCCAACTAAAACGGTACATTTTAATTAACACCTGTGCCCTGCGTTTATCAGTAATTGAAACCGTATCCATGCAACCCTTTCCGTGCGATGACCCCATTTGAAATTCATTTGATTTGAATGAACGCAAATGATGATCAAGACTGCGTATTAATGTTCATAATACAGATAGCTGTTGCTGGGTGAGGTACCATTAGTAATTGATGTTACCTGTAACTCAAACTCAAACGGCAGGCATCCTCCTTAGATCAGAAGTGTGTCAGAGTCTGTCTCTCCAGCACAAACCCCCCATCAACAGTCTGCACCTGTTTTGAAGGAAGTTCTCTTTCTTCCTCAGAAGGAAGGGCTGATAAAGGGAAGCCCGGCTTTGAGATTTTCGACTAAGGAAAAAAGTCACTTCCACCCACACACGGAGAACACCACTGCAGGAGGAGGAGGATGTGAACTGAACAATAGACTCGTGTGTCGGTGGAGTTCCGTAGTTGAAGCTCTGACATGCTTCACCCTGTCGCCCAGATAAGCCTCTCTCCCCTCTCATGCTTCTCTACCAGCCCCTCATCCTGCCCCGCAACAACAGCCATTGTTATAAGACAAACATTACAGTCTATTTCTGTCATGGCTGATCAAGTAAACAAGGTGGTGCTGAGCTTGCACCGCCAACCTCATTTTATTTATCTCAACACAGAGACTCTGTGCCAAACAAACACTAAAAAGAGGTTTGCAAGCTGCAATTTCAGTAATGTAGGAGCTAGTTGTCACACGAGAAGTTGTTACAAGAACTATAACTCAGTAATTATGAGGTTTTGAGTCAAAAATCAAATTACACAAATGTGTGCTTTCTCTAGCAGTAGTTTTTATGTGGGTTTCAAGCACTGTGCTCCAAACTTTCAAAATCAGTATATTTTTGCAATATAGCTAAACCAGTGAACATTATTAAACCACATTAGCATGTACTCAGGTGAAAGCCAACTATAAAATAAAGGTAGATTATAACTGAAACCTGAACCTGCAATCTCAGGACAAGCATTTTTTATAAATAAATTTCAGGTCAGGACATTTTATAAATTATAAATTTTACAGTACCACTCAAAAGTATGCGGTTGGTATTTATTTTTTCTTAATCTTTTTAAGTCTCTTGTGCTTACCATGCATTGACCAAAATAGAGTAAAAAATATAGTAATACTGTGGAATATTACTGCAATTTAAAATAACTTTTTATTTTAATATATTTTCAAGTGTAATTAATTCCTGTGATGCAAAGCTGTATTTTCAGCATCATCACATGATCCTTCAGAAATCATTCTAATATTCTGATTTGCTGCTCAAGAAACATTTCTTATTATTATCAATATTGAAAACAGTTGTGCTGCTTAATATTTATGTGGAAACTGTGATACACATGTGGGTCTCTGATAAATAGAAAGTTCAAAATAACAGCATTTATTCGAAACAAAAATCGTTTGCAACATTGTAAAAGTCTTCAGGTTGCATTGTGACAGCTTACCCCATATAGTATGACAACATGCTCTGCTATTAGGGGATTGTATATCTTCAAGAACAGGAAGACATTTATTCAAAGTGCTGAAAATGGATCCCCGAAGGACGACAGGAAAAGCACTTATTCAGGGAAGAGTATTATGCCTGAAATAGCTTTGACCAGTTGCTACATGAAAATGTCTCTGCTGAGCCACTCAGGAAGCTGCTAGTAATTAATATAGAAACTTGCTGACGGAAGTAAAATCCTCTAACATGTACAAGGAACACATAGGCCTTGCTTAACGTGAACATACTGAATTCAACACTAAATAAACAGAAAGACAGTGAGAGGTGTAAATGAGACTCGTATACTCGAACACAAGTGCTTTCAGTCAGACACTCTCTCTGTGAGGGCTCTCACTTGTACAAGAGTTCCTATGAGCTGCACTCCATTTGGATTTACCTTCAGGTACTTACTATGAAATTTCACTATGAATATGAAGAGAGTTTGCAAGAGGCTTACAGCAACAAGACCCTTTATCAAAAAACACACATTCCAAAAAACACGCATTCCAATATCTGTTTCAATACATGAGGCCTGGGACAGTGTTTTTTTCCTTCCACAGGATGACTTAGAGGGGCCCTTCATTCATGGCAGCGGACAAAGGCCTGGGATAATATTCCTTGTGACGGCCCAGTGCAACATTATACCCACACAACTTTACATAGACACAGGCATCATATTCAAACATTTATATACCTTCACCTGTTTACTGCGGTGACTGTGGACTCAGCAGATCGGATCCAGTGTTAGCTGCAGAATTATCAATATGCATGCAGACTGTGTCGCAGTCTGTCCAGTACTCAAGGAATTCCTGCCCTCCTGTGGTAAGACTCTGAAAATGAAAAAAAGCATTTCAGTGTTTGATGGTTTTATGCTGAATGCAGATATAAAAGGTTGACTAATTTTCTGTGAGCCACTGTATTTTAGTACATAATAAATTATATTTTAATATTTTTTCCTCTAACATTTACAAAAAGTATCTAAAAGAGATTTTTAAAAAAAGAGATAAAGATAAGAGATAAAAATTCTGTCAAGTAAATATGTTTGTGATATAAAGCGATCATATATCTTCACAACACTTGGAATAAACTGCTTCATTTTACAATGTCTTTATGACCTTTTTGGGTCTTCTAAGTTTTGGTTACCTGGACTTTCAATGGAGGTACATAAACCTCTCAGGTTTCATTAAAAATATCTTAATTTGTGTTTAAAGATTGATTAACCAAAGTATTACAAGCTTGGAACGACATAAGGGTGAGTAAATGATGACAGAATTTTCATTTCTGGGTGAACTACCCCTTTAAACACACTATTCACACTCTTATGTTATTTATTTCGTTTGCTAACAATGTTCAGTAGTGTATTCACATGAGAATTGTCATATTTTTTCCTTTTTTTATTTTTTATATAATTTCTACCAGTGATGCATCGTGTTTAGTCAAATTTGGTGTTGAAAAATGACGTTACATTTTGGACGTCCAACTCCATTGTTTGGCTAAGGCTAATTACACAGTTAGCATTTAATTACCCTTAATGTACGCAATTAATAAATTCACTTTTCTTGCATAATTTGACAATAATGAGGACTGAAAACTAGACACAGTAAAAAGTATTCTTTTCACACCTGATAATTTACCTGATTTTTCGCTGCTCCTTCACAAATCACGTCTCATATTTTTCAAGTTCAAGACAGGCAGTCTCCTTGGAAAATAAGTACTTTACAAAAACTTTATAAGGCCAAACTGTTAACCTGCGCGAGTTCACCTGATTTAAACCACACATCAGTGCATTCCTCTTCGGCCTGTTGTAGCGTCTCGGGAAGTCGGGATTGCAGGAGCCCCTTCCAGCGCCTCGGTATTAACGGAGAAACACCCTAAACAGGTGTGTGGACAGTCCACCAGTGAATTTAATCATCACGATTCAACATAATCATAACCCACTCTCTTCCGAGCCTTGAGGTGGCAGCAGAGCAGGTAGAAAACAGCAGCCGGGCGCGAGACCAACGAACAGCTAACAAAAAAAGGTCCCCAGGACGTCCCCTAAATGGCCTCTGCGAACGTCCCCCGGACGTCAGCGTGTAGGGTCCCCTTTTACGTCGAGCGGACGTGTCATTTTATTTTACTTTTAGGCTAATCAAAGACAACAGACACGTGTATGGAGCAAAATACGTTTATTTTAATTGAACAATTGTAAAGTTGCGGTGCTCTTTCCGTGTCTGTGTGCGTCTCTGGTTGTCAGCTGTGGTTAGTCCGATGGCAATTCTTCCCATTGTCTTCTAACCTAAAACAACAAAATGAACACATTTGGATTTAGACCAAGCGGTCCGAAATTTAGCGCACATAGGCCTTTTTGCCGCATATAGGCGTATCGGTGTGTATTTTTACCATATGTAAATTCAATATTTAAGTTCAATATCTGTCAATATTATATACGTTTAATCATTTCAGCTTTACATGCTAACGTTAGCTTCGAAAGTGTTCACATAGGCTAACGTCAGCAGCCGTACAGGACAACTTCAGCAAACGTTTAAAAAGGTAAACTTTTCATAAAATGTAAGCATTACGAGATACACAGTGGTTACGGTAGCTATGTCTACAAATATAAAAGTATAAATACCTTTTCGACCAAAGAAAGCGAAAACTCAAGGCCGTGTCTGAGGAATCACCGAGGACCGTTAACTGTCACTACGCAGCTGAGCGTTGCCATGGATACATGCTGCGTGCCCTAAAGTGATGTCATTCGATCATGTGCTCATTTGATCGACACTTGCTTATAGCCACATTGGGACATAGGCTACATTACTTTTATTTATTTTTTTTTTGAGCTGCACATGGTATAGCATTCTTAAATGCAATAACTAAAATAATAATTTTACTAAATAACTTTTCTTGTCGGCTTACCAACAGTTTAATATGTAAATGAAAATAATTAATTTATTTGTCGTACCTGTGTTATTTTCCACTTTCTTTTCTACATGTTTTCCTTGGCTGCATTAATCACTCTATAACATTCTTGTAGAGCTCCTGGGATGCAACCTTATTTTCTTCATGCATGGGGAGTGCATAAACCTAATTGTAGCCTATATGTTCAATTATATTATTGAAGGATATCATGATTTTGATGTTTAAATGCTGAAAACAAACGCCTGATTTGATGACATTTTTAATTACAGAAGTTACTCCTATTTTATTTTTCCAGAAATGAAAATTATTAATTTAACATTAACTTAATTTTACAATGTATTCAAATCTATTATACTATAGTAAAAAAATAATAATAATATAAATCTGCAAAACATTTTGCATTCTTTTGCATTTTGCATTCTATTATCACAGTTAAAAAAAGGGATTTTGTTTTAAGGAATGATACCCTTTAAAATCCAATATGGGTTTATATTTTAGTTTAATTTTGTCAACTCTTTGTCGGAGTTGCAAGGTGTCAGGTCCAGTGTTGGGAAGGTTACTTTGGAAATGTAATAGGTTACAGATTACAAGTTACCCTATTTAAAATGTAATATGTAATGTAACTGTTTCAGTTACTTTATTAAAGTAATGTAACTGATTTCACTTGATTACTTTTCTAAATTTCTATTGTTTTCAAATTTTAATTATTTTGAAACATTTAAAGCAGGCAGGGTTAACGTTACAGTGGTACTCAACACTGATTACTGTCACACTTTCAGAATCCTTCCCTTGAAATAAGAGTAGGTTTTTGAAATCAAATCTTTGCATAGCTATAACAGGAAATACATCTAACAATGCCTTGGGAAAAAAAAAAAAAAAAAAAAATCATATACATAAACCAAAATAGGAAATAAAACAGTTATCGAATAAGCATGTGTCCTATTCTGTGTCCTCAACTCCTGAAACATTGGTGTCTCATATTTTAAATATGTATATGTGTGAAAATATTCAGATGTAACTCCCTTTGTAATCATTAACATTTTCATAAGTAACTGTAATTTAATTACTTTTTTTTTTCTCAGTAACTGTAACAGATTACAGTTACATTTATTTTGTAATTAAATTACGTCATGTAGTTACATGTAACTACTTACTCCCCAACACTGGTCAGGTCTGATGATAAAAGCCCACGCATGGGCGACTGGATTTTTCAAGTGTTGTAATGGAAATGGCAGATGAGGGACGAAACAGGGACGTTCGCAAACTGGCTCCGACGAATGTCCTCCGAAAGTCCGCCAGCGAACGTCAAAAAGAGGACCAAATGCGGACGTCCTCAGAACGTCCGCCAGCGAACGTTACACAGCGGACCAAATCCGGACGTCCTCCGAACGTCCGCCAGCGAACGTTACACAGCGGACCAAATCCGGACGTCCTCCGAACGTCCGCCAGCGAACGTTACACAGCGGACCAAATCCGGACGTCCTCCGAACGTCCGCCCGCGAACGTTACAAAGCGGACGTACTGCAGACCTAAACGGACGTTCGGAACGTCCGGGGGACGTCCCCTGTTTGCTTGGAGTGTACTTGTCCTTCTCGTAGGGACTCCGTTAAACTGTGTAGATTGAGGTTGGGGCACTGTGGGTTAAATTACTTTTTGTATATTGTAGGAAAGCATATTTCTGGATTATGTGAATGTGGGAATATGGAAACAGTAGGGCATGTTTTCTTGGAATGTAGGAAGTATAATGCAGAAAGAAAAGCACTTTTTGATAAATTGGCAGAATTTGGAGTTAAAGTGTTTTCTGTTACTTCTTTGTTTGGACACAGTGATAAACATAAACTGATCTCTGAGGTAGTTCTTCAGTTCTTGCATAATACAGGACTGTACATAAGAATTTAGTTCAAACTTTGACCTGTGGAGGGCAGTAATACGCCCAGTAGCGTCTACACTGCCGGAAAGATATAAGAAGAAGAAGACCAACGAACAAGGACCAAGTGCGTCATTTCCTATTTACGTGAATTTTCCCGCGCTGCCTGTATTTATTCTCTGCTGTCATTGAGAATAAACACTGAACATTTTAAGGATGCCAACCTCAGATTATGATCCAGCTTGTTTGCCTGACTTGTTGCCGCTTTATTACCGCAGACTATTTCCGTTTTCGCAGTACTATCGCTGGTTAAGTTATGGCGGTGGTAAGTAAATCTCTAACTTACCCATGTCAGTCTGAGATCACACAGCGAGCGATTCGCTGGTCTTTGAAATGCTGTTTTTCAGTAGTTTGTGCATTTACAATGAAAAGTCGATCTTTATCGTTTTAATTTAACCAATATGATTTCTGCATGCGTACTTTTATATGTAACAATATTTACGTCTCTAGTTCAACATTTCTAATTTCCTTCGTCTCTTAACTTTGCCTCTTGCAGTGTCTAAAAACTACTTCCAGAACCGTGAGTTTTCCTTCACCCTAAAAGATGACATTTATGTGAGATATCAGTCCTTCACCACTCAGAATGAGCTGGAGAAAGAGATGCAGAAAATGGTTCCCTACAAGGTTGATATTGGAGCAGTCTACAGCCACAGGGTGATTATTTTATAGTTGGCATGTCCTGTGGTGAATATCTAAAACAGCATATAATAAACAGCATTTTGAAACTTCTTTTTATATTGTTATTATGCATATGCCTTTGAGCTTTTTCTGACTAAAAAAAAACTTTATGCATATTAATTGAAAGACTTGATGAGATATTCATACAATATAGTTTCATATTGAAATGAAAAGATCATAATTTCTCTGGTTCTGTGATTGACAGCCCAGTCAACATAATGCAGTGAAGTCTGGAGCCTTCCAGGCCCTGGAGAAGGAGCTGGTGTTTGACATTGACATGACAGACTATGATGATGTCAGACGTTGCTGCAGGTATACAGATGCCTTCTCCGCTTCTTTCATCTTAATACATAAGATGCTTATGGAATAGTGTTTTAAATGCAGTTATTTAGTGATTTTTTTTCTTTTTTACTTCAGTGCTGCTGATATCTGCTCAAAGTGCTGGACTCTAATGATCATCGCTATCCGTATTCTGGACCGGGCACTTCGGGGTAAGCATAACTTCTCATCAACACACATTTACAGTTTACAGTAACGTCATAACAAATGAAAACAATTGTAACATACACGTACTGTTTGTGTGGTTCAGAGGACTTTGGATTCCATCATCTCCTATGGGTGTACTCGGGCAGGAGAGGCGTGCATTGCTGGGTTTGTGATGATGCTGCTAGGAAGCTCTCAGTGGCGGCACGGTCTGCCGTGGCAGAGTATCTCAGTTTAGTCAAGGTATTCAAATATCAGATAACTGATCATCCTAGAAATGTTATGGATTTGTTTATCATATTCAGCTGTGTAATCTAAAAGCTGTGATTTAATTAATGAATTGTGTGTCCTGTGCATGTTTATTTAGGGTGGTGAGGAGACTCTGAGAAAAGTTGTGCTGTCAGATCCAATCCATCCGTTCATCAAGTAAGGGGGAATAATGACTTCCTTAAGTACATAATGTGTAAATGATGTAACTGCAGTCTCTTGTTGTTTTAGTCATTCTCTGTCTGTGGTGGAGCGCTATTTCCAACAATACGCCATTGTGGACCAGGACATATTGGGCAGTAAGGAGAGTGTAGACAAAGTGCTCGCTCTAACCAATAATTAAACAGTAAATAATAAAAAAATACATTGGAGTGCTTCATAGAATTGTAGTTCAAATCAAAGTTTGTAACTTAATTAATTTCAGAGTTGATGTTATGGCCTTTTTTTTTTAAATCTTGAGACTTAACTAATTTTCAACTTCATGTGAGAAGCATAAAGCATTTGCTTGATTTTATATAAGTTTTGTAGTAGTAGTTTCTTCCGAATATTTGTAATATTCAATTTTTAATTTACTGTAAAAATGCAAAGAGAAAATAGGCATATTTCACATTCACTCAGGGACTTCAGTAAGATTTTACCTGAAAAGATTTTAGATTTTTTTATAATCATATGTTAATTTAAAAAATATTGTATAATTTTACCTTGTTGTATTTTTGTTTAT